TCATATATGCATGTATGTCTGTATGTCTGTATGTCTGTATGTCTGTATGTCTGTCTGTCTGTCTGTCTGTCTGTCTGTCTGTCTGTCTGTCTGTATGTATGTATGTATGTATGTATGTATGTATGTACGTCGGCACGCGTGTGCGTGTATGATAAGAGTGTTTCGTCACATTGTGTGAGGTGGTATGATTCTTGGCTGGCAGCGCAACACAATAGAACAGCTCGAAACATGATCTACAAGTAGACTGCAATACGTTCTAGTATGATCAAGGTACCTGGGCGACCCGAGCCCGATCTCCCTACGCGCCTGCGCAGCGGCACCGGAGTCGGGATTTTCCATAAGATCCCGGACGCGTTCTTTGCACTGGGCGGCTGTAGGGTGTAGGGCCGGGTATAAGGTTCAAGGGGTTAGGGTTTAAGTTCAGGGCTGTCTGTTGGGAGGCATTCCGAACCAAATTGAAAATGCTAGTTCAAACCGCAGCAGTCGTAACTTGTGGACAGTGCCACGATGCCTGAAAATGCCCCTTTGCTCGAAGCTTGCCATCAAGCAGCCTCAGCCTCATGGATTCAGTGAGACCCTCGTCCCACTTCAGAATTGACTCTGCTTTGCCCCGTAGCTTGGAGCCTAAGGCTCGTGAGGATTGTTCCCATCACACTATGGAAACATGACTCAAGACAGGACTCTGAAGCCGCGTACTGGGTTGCTTGTATATGTTATAATGTACACACGCGACCACACACAGATATACACAGGTAGCATGCACACAATGGACGTGCGGAAGCGAGGATGAAGAGCTGCATGCACTACAACTTTGGATGTGACCTTCCACGCATGTTGGAAAGTGCTTACGTCTGCAAGCAGTTAAGCTGAGCCGGGGCGCAAAGCATAAACCTCTACTTTACCATATCCACATAGATATGTGCAAGCAGACCAGGACATGCACAAGCTTAAGCATCTGAAGTCACGACACAAACAAAGGAACAAATCGAGGCGCACACCGTCCCTGGAATCATTTCCTGCAGCGTCGCCAGTGGATGTAAAGGTCAATCAAAAGGTCGCGTGGTTGGTGGCAATGCATTTGGATTGGTATATGATCTGCAGACGGCCGTTGCTCGCAAGGCCCTCTGAGGATTATGGCCGAGCTCCACCCAAAGTGAAACAGCTGCTCTTTCATTCTCGGCTAAGTCTCATGGGGTGGACATACATCGGTGCAGCAAAGAAATTATATCCACACAAAAAAGCTGCCTCCCTGCTGGGCCAAAGTCGCAAGGCGCCACTAGGCTTCTGGACTGTGCCCGATGCTCCGTCCTGCTCTGGGGCCGTGTAGGCTGAATCCTGCGATGGGCGTCATGTTTGTTCTATGGCGTTGTGGCTTCCGTCTCCGAGACAGGATTCAATCAAGCGCATTCTGTCGGTTTGGCGCTTCAACATATGCTGCACATCTGCCCGTACTATCAAGATTTGACATCTTGTGTGCAACATGGCGTGCATCATCGCGGGTGAGGCAGGAAACGGAGCTCGGAAACCTAGTTAGCACACAAACAGCAACAAAAATACTTACGCGAAGCTTCTTTTTCGTAAGTCAACTCGCAAGGTACCCGCGTGCATGACTGTAAGTTTGTTCCTCTGGGAGCTCGCAACCTGGGAGTCAGTGCAGCCTGCTTAGCCTAGCAAGTGAAGCTGGCTTGCAGTTACCCGACGTCACTCGAAAGCCTAAAAAATTGAAACGGGCCGCAGCTCGCAACAAAACGTTTACAGTGCAGCTGCACTACGACGCTGCGCGCTCCCGTACATTGCCCCGCAACCTCCTACGATGTCACCAAACAAAACCTGAAGTCCTCAGTCGTGTACTGCTGGCGAGAGCGGCGAGGCTCTCCCGGCACTTGCTGGTACCTTGAGCGTTCAGTTGAGGTTGCTTTTCCTCGTGAACTGTAGAGGTAGACAACGAGACCTTTCAGAGATTCTGTTGGGGTGAGGCTAACTCTGTACAGTGGCGGCATGCTCAATGATTCCATGTCGCTGTGTAGATCAGGTGGTCTAGACAGACAGCATCGCTGAATATGCCGGCTGCTACCGCACCTTCTGTTCGAAGCTCCTACGTCTCGACTTCCTGATGCAGGCGTAAGGTGGGTCTAAATGCAAAGGCAGGATACGATGCTTGCTGCGCGGCCATCTTGCCGCGATGGCAGTGACGGAGTGGCTGTGTTGATGACACTGCCCGATATCATAGAACGTCACACTGTTCGGCACAGCAGCATAAGTTTTGTAAGTCGTATAGTCTTGTTGTGCGGGATCCCTCATGCTTATGTACACGCATCAACATCGCCGAGCTGCTGCCCATTCCGAGTTGTCACTAGCCTAGCTCCCGAGACTGTGTTGCAAAGCAATGAGACCTGGCTTCAACCAGATTGAGGACTCTGACGATTCTAAAACAGGCCTATGGATGCATGGCACATCGTCGAAGTGAGCCGACTGTGAGCAGGAGCCAACGCGCAAGCACCGAGCATGGCAGAGTTGATAGATGACTAAGCACAAGCACGGATGAGGGGAGAATCGTCTCGTTCAGTGCTGTAGATCCCTTGAACAATCTATCGGCTATCAATGTGCTAAACATGCTGCTGCTACTGGCAAAACTAGTACGACTGCTACTGCTACAGCTACAGCTACAGCTGCCGCTACGGCAACTGCTACTTCTACTGCTACTGATACTGCCGCTACTGCTCCTGCTCTTGATCCTTCTCCTGCTACTCCTACTGCCACCCCTGCTACCAATCAGTACTACCAACCCACTACCAATACTACTCCTCCTCCTCTTCCTCCTCCGGCTGCTTGTACTACCACGACAACTACCGCTGTCACCACATCTGCCTTACCGCAGCCACGACCATATACGATTAAATGTGCGTGTATCGATATATGTATAGATGTACCCACATCATACATACATACATGTCTGTGGATGTATATATGCACGGTGCAAGGCTTCCGGTGAAAGCATCGGCTGATGCTCTGAAAGCAACCGCATCCTTTTCAATCCAGTCAGGTCCGATAGCCAGCTTCGGCCTGCCAGGACAAGGGGCTTCACAGGGCTTCCTGTCTCTAGGAAAGTTGGTGGGATTTGCGATTACTCTGATCACTCCTCCGGACTGCAACAACGGCCGCTGCGATTGTCCAGGGTCCCGAAACCCGACCCTGCTGCAAAGCTGCCGGGCGGCTAGAACCTGCTCGACCTGTTTCTTCGCAGCGCCCTCGAGAAACCGCACGCACTGGGCGATGAAGGCCTCAGGGTCTCTGCTGTCGGAGGTGTCACGGCAGAGACTTGAAGGCCGAAGCAGCACCGAGTTCAGTGGAATGCTGTTGTCGTCATGGAACTCAGGCAAACAAGTGATAATGTTGGCAAATTTTAGTAAACATACCAGCGGTACACTGTTCCGCAAGGAGTAAGTCTCCAACAGTTTGAAAAGCCCTGAAGCTTCAGAGTGCTACACTTAAGCAGCCTGGGCTGTCGCATGGTGCATCCCGATTCCGATTGATCCGGAGATCGTTCTGAAATTTCGAAGCTAACCGTAAGCCAACTCCTCAACGCCAAGTGGGCAGTGCAAAAACCTGGCCCTGAACGCTCCCACGACTCAATGGGACAGGGACTGGCAGACAAGGAACTGCCGAGCTCGGCGATTCCCCCAATGCCTGGATCCGAAGCGGCGCGAAGGTGGGGCTGTTGTGGGTGGCATATCTGGCAGAACTGTAGGTTCATAGAGCCGACATGAAGCAGATTTCAAACCGCAACGCGTTCTTCGATGATCTCTCGTTGTAGCAGTCTTGCTGCAGCTTCCCAACCATGAAAAAGAAGACCCGGAAAAATGTCTGTAGGCCAATCTCGGTAGAGGGAGGCTTGGAGACGGCGTTTTTAAAAGTGTAAAAATTCAGGGTGGATGTATTCCGACAGCGTTCCTGCCAAGCTAAAAACCACCAGACACCCCAGCATGTGACACAAAGATCGAAACCCCAAACCTGCAACACACGACACATTCCAACCTTCCAAGGACGCGATGCCACTAAAAGGCTGAAGCCAAGCCCTCAGCCCCTATGTGGGTAGTTCTCTAAAATAGGGTTCCATTTTAGGGTCCTTTTTTTTAAGGGTGCCGTACTATATTGGGGATCCAAAAAGAACCCTAATTTTGAGAACCCCTAAACCCTAAACCCTAAACCCTAAACCCTAAACCCTGAACCCTAAACCCTAAACCCTAAACCCTCTATATGGGGGACCCAAAAAGGGACCCTAATTTTGAGAACTACCCATGTCCTCGCAAGCCTGGCGGAGGCTCAGCAACTCTGGGCCCGGCAAGGGCACGCCCAGGTCCTTCGAACGCCAAAGTCTGAGAAAAAATGAAGAACAATCGGCTGGCGAGAATCAAACCATACTTTAGGGTTTAGGAGTTTAGGGTAGTATACCAATACTGTACAAATTAAGTATCGCAAAGTATCGTGCAGATCGTGCAGAAGAGCACAGCTGAATAGAGTATACTCGCTGCCCGGATCTCACGCAACGGGCTTCGGGTGGAGCCGGCGCCACCACCGGATGGTTCACCACATGCATATGCAGACGTTGAAGATTCGGGCACATGATCCGTGATGGGGCGGAAGACTCTCAGGTATTGCCAATCACGGTTTGGATTTAGGGTTTAGGGTTGAGGGAAGATGACTGTCATAGTTATCGCACCTCATGCCGACATTGATGTCATTAGCAGTCCTTTGATCCGCGAATGTGGTACAAGCCCACTCCACGGCAGACGTTCACGGCCGTCAGCTGTGGACGTGCCGCCATTCTCCGGTGGTAGCCTCACAGATTTCTGCTTCAGACTGCGGACATGACACAGTGCTTTCCAAGGCATGTTCAAAATTGTCCACATCAAGCCCTGCTTATCAAGTGCATGCTGCCCAAGCCCTTCCCTACACCTGGTGGGTCCGAGCTCTTCTCTACGGTGGGACACTCCAAATCGGGTTCGGTGGGACCTGTCGGGCATGCACACGTAAATCCATGCCAACGGCAACAGCCTACCCCTCCCCAGTCATGTCCCGGACCCAATCCTGCATAGCTGCCTGTGGAGAGCAATCTCTGCACAACAAACTACGTCCATTCCTGCCCGAGCTACAGCCGAAGCTGTGCAGCAGCGTTCTCGGCAGCGGCAACAGGGGCACCTGCCGTGAGCCTCAGTCAACAGAGGTGCGGCATCTTAATGCAGCCTTGCAGAAGAAGTACATCGAGTGAATGTGACGGTTCTCCCTGTCAACATTGAAACTGAAGTAAAAGGACCAAGGCACTGGTTACATAAAGCTGGCTGTGGAAGAGGCCCGAATTGCCTCAGCTTCCACGGACAGGATGCCACTGTGCGCCCCAAGCAGGTGACATGTCGGCTATCGGTAACTTCCTCAACATCAGGAGGCAGCTGAACGAAGGGCATGCTGACGATTGCGAAGTATGGCATTGCACGGGTCCGGACACCCATTGTCAGCAAGAAGGACTTCCATGACTTCAATAGCCCGACCCTGGCAACAGGGCCTGACATTACAGGGCAAGCGAAGAGCAACCATCCCGTGAAGGCACAGATCCGACCCGCCTCCCTGTGCAAACATGAGACAGAAGTCCCCGTCCATCTCCTCGCCCCTGGCATCGAAGCCTGCAGCTTGTCCGACGGTGTGGAGTTCCCGGTCTTGGGCCAGAGTTTCGGGACTTTGTGTTTGGGATGCGTAGGTCACTCCCATATGTCTGCTCTTCAGCTCCGGCCTGCTGCACAAGCACCCGCCCGCGTGCTCAGTATCCGATGCCTTTGGAAACCCAAAGCGCCCCTGCTCGGTCGAATACTGCAACCCCTGGCCGAAGCCCATCATGCACATCATATTTCAGCCAGACCCTCGAGCGCACAAAGCCCTTGCTAGCCTTCGGCCAAGAAGTCCCAACGGCACAGCGTCAGCGGATTTATCTCCTTCCGAGGGAAAGGAATGGGAGCTCGAGCCGACTCGAGATCTCTGGTGGCAAACAGAACTCCATTGACGCCGTTGTACCCTGAGTGGCGCTTGCTTTGAATGACCCTGTCTGTTGACCACAACCCGAGGCACCGACAGTGTAGCATTCCGCGAAGTTTCGAGAGATGCACATAGTACCGGAATTGATTAATACAAAACAGCAGTGCTATATCATACTGTGATAAGAACCAGAACATACCAGAACCATTACGCATGGCAGCTTCCTTAGTTTACGATCACCGGTTGTGTATACTGTCTGCTATGCTACGGAATACTACAGCATTCTCCAGTATGCTCCGTCTGATAAGCCATACGAATGACATCTACCGGTACAGGTGCTAGGACACCTTGTTCCCAAAATCCTGACCTGCGTGGCACGGAGCTGCGGCGTTGCAGCGCGCAGGACCTCCTCGATGTGGCGTGGGTCTTTGATCCGCAAATACCCGCCGAGGCAACTGAACAGATCAAGGGTACTAAGAAAACTACTACCGCTGCTAATGCCACTACAAGGACGACGACGATGACGGCTGCTGCTGCTGCTTCTGCTACTGCTACTGCTACTGCTACTGCTACTGCTACTGCTACTGCTACTGCTACTGCTACTGCTACTGCTACTGCTACTGCTACTGCTACTGCTATTGCTACTGCGACTGCTACTACCACCACCACTACCACTGCTACCACTACCACACGACCACCACTACCACTACGACCACGCCTACCGCCCTACCACCACTACACTACCACTACCACTGCCACTCGACGACTACTACTACTACTACTACTACTACTACTACTACTACTTCCACCACCACCACCACCACCACCACCACTACCACTACCGCTACCGCTACCGCTACCGCTACGACTACGACTACGACGACGACTACTACTACCACGACTACTA